CCAAACAGCGACAACGAGGTGGAAGAGGACGACGGGATCCTGGAGCTGGACCAGGATGACCTGGAAGATGTCATCCTCACACACGTGCGTGGCGCTGGCAGCAAGGGAGCAGCAGGAGACGACGGAGAAGAATCAGAGGAAGAGAAGCCTTCCACCACGCTGCATGATCTGACCATGGACATGTTCCATCGCTCCCATGCAATTTGGCTGGCGCCGGACCGCTTGACTAAGGGCGACCCAGCAGCCACCAAGGTTTACACAGAGATGCAGGCCGCGCCCCCTGTCCGCGACCACGCCCTGGCGCAGCACTCCGCCAAGACCTCTGCAATAGAAGGCGACAAGGGCCAAAACACACACAGACGTCCCCATGATGCTGAAGGTTCGGTTCGCTCCCTGCCGCCGCTGACCAAACAGATCTTGGAGGAATTCCTGCGGGGCGACCGCCTGCGCAAAAGCACGAACCAAAAGCAGCGCGAGTTCTTGGAGCTGGTGGTGGACAGGATCATGGTGGAGCTGGGCCTGATGTCGAAAGAGGCGTCGAAGAGGAAGTCCGACGAGCCCTTGCGTTGGTTGCTGCACGGTCCCCCGGGCACCGGAAAATCCCACGTCCTGCGCTTTGTGAAGGAGCTCTTCTACATGATGGGCTACACATATGGTTTGGATTTTGAAGTAGTGTCCTTCCAGACGGTCAACGCGGCAGACTTGGGCGGCAAGACCATCCACCACGCATTTGGGTTTGGCCAGTTTCATGACCTCAGCATTCCTTGCAATCGAGACGTGGCCAAGCGGATGGCGCACTGGCGTTGGCTCGTCATTGATGAGATCAGCCTCACGGATGCTTCCCTCCTTGGCAAGGCTGAGCACAGGCTTTGTGCGGAAGTCCCAGAGGCAGGACGATGGAAGCACGACAGCGATGGGAGGCTGAGGCCCTTTGCAGGAGTGAACATCATTTTGACGGGCGACTTCCATCAGCTTCCGCCGGTGTCAGGGCCCTACCTGGCCGCAGTCCCCGTCAGCCTGAGCGGCAAAGCGCCGGAAAGCCCCTGGGGGGAACGTGGCAGGGACCTCCTGTGGTGCGGCGCGGTGCAGGGCGTCACAGAGCTGACGGAGCGCGAGCGCTGCAAGGATGAGTGGTGGAACGAGGTGGTGGACGAGCTCAGGGCAGGGCGGCTCTCGCTCAAGAATTGGATGTATTTGCATGGCATACGGGTCCCAGGCTGCACCCTGTCGCGACAAGAAAGGGATTCACGGTGCCGGGTGGTCTCTGGCCCTGGGGACCCGCGGCTCCAGGAGGAGAAATTCAAGGAAGCCGTGGCCATCGTCGCCAACAACGATGCCCGCAGCCAGATCAACAAAGACAGGGCCAGGTGGTTCAGCAAAGTTTCTGGGTCTCCGCTTCGTTGGGCGCGCGCTGTGGACAAGGCTTCGTCGCAAGTTCTGCAGGTTGAGGCTTGCGACAAAGAAACCAGGAAGAGGCACGCTCCAGGAGGGAAAAAAGGAGGTAGTCACAGACACGCACACACACACACACACGCACACCGAACAGAAACAGATCTGTAAGTAGATATATCATGAACGTCTGGTGGGCTAGCAATATGTATTCTGGCACAATGCACATTTGAGGCTTAGCTATTCCATATGATCCACACCTTCTGTCCTTCATGGTGCGTTCTCTGTCCAGGTGGCTGACGTACCACGACAAGGACACCAACGGCTTGCCGGGCATGCTTCCCTTGGCAGTTGGCATGCGTGTGGCCCTCACCCACAAGGTGGACGAGTCGCCGGAGAAGCGCCTTCTCAAGCACAGCGTTGGTCGCGTGCACTCTTGGGTGTGGGAGGACGGCGCTCCGCATCCATCAGTCATCTACCTCAAGTTCGAAGGCGCCACTTGGAAGTTGGACGGCATCGACGAACCAGGTGTGTATCCAGTCAAGCCGAAGAAGTTGACGTGGTACTTGGACAACAAGCGCCAAAAAAAGGTCCTGAAGGTCGAGCGCAGCCAGTTGCCCCTCACGCCTGCATACGCCATGACGGCGCATTCCAGCCAAGGGAAAACTTTGCGCGCGGTGCTGCTGGATCTCTCTGTGGACAAGAGGGTAGACACAACCTTCGGCGCTGTGGCTGCCAGTCGGGTTGCCAGCCGTCACGACTGCTTGATCCTCCGCCCTTTTGAGCATTGGCTCTTTGAGCGAGGCGTGTCTGAGGGCCCGCAGCTCCTGCTGCAACAGCTTCGGGGCGAGCAGGTGGACTGGATGGCCTACAAAGAGGGCCTTGCCCCGTGGAGCACATGCAGACGCTGTTTGCAGGTCAAGACCCTTGACGGCTACGAGCACGAGCAATGGGAGCACGTTCGTGCAAACAAGCCCGCCATGTGCATGCAGTGCAAACACGGAGACACAGGGCCGAAGACCCGCAAGCTGGAAAAGGACGCCAAGAGGATTGCATGCAGCATGTGCCAAATCAACAAGATCGAGGACGCCTTCCCCCGTGCGCAACTCAAGCAGAAAGACAAAGAGAAGTGCCTGTCCTGCTGCCAAGCCATCAGGCGCCTGCAGTGCTGCGGATGCCAAACGACCAAGGGCATCGAACATTTTGAGCCTGCCATGGTGACATTGCCGGCGGCCGGGGTAGCATGCAAAGAGTGCCAAGAGGAAGTGAAAGCCCAAGTGGCCAAAAAACTTCGCAAGAACTGGTTTAAATGCCGAGGCTGCGGCGAAGTTTTCCCAGCAGCAGCCAGCAGCAACGAAGCGAGCCCGCAACATTGCCTCAACTGTGCTTCCCGGGGCACGCGCCAAAAGGACGAGCAGACCTGCCGCGGCTGCAAGCGGAGATTTCATGAGAAGCAAGAGAAAGGCCGGAAGAGATCCCGTCGCTGTCCCGACTGCCGCCGCAAGTAGGCTTTGAGCATTCAGGTCATGCAAAGCACGGCTGAGCCTATAATGCACGGCGAAGTCACTGGTAGCAACGCTGTAAGGAATTAGCTGGTGCCTTGGCCTACCCGGCGTCGCATCTAGCACAGCAACGGACGCTGATGCGCTCCAAGGCATGGGTTGCCCGGTTTCACCCCGCACAGTAACGGGCGCCAGCCAGGAATGAAAAAAGGAACCCGCTGTCTACATATGGTGCAAGTAGATTCCATGGTGCATGAAGGCGCGAATTAGATTCGCGAAAGCACCAGCCCACTACGGCCTGGTGAACGCGGCTTAAACCAACCTTGTTTTGCATAATATGCTGCATGCCGTCACAAGGCTGTTTGGCTCTCGGACAGGAAGCGCGATTGCATGGGAATTTGTAGCGGCAACGCGTCCATTCAGCAGAGCCTTGCCAGCAAAGAGGCTGGGTTGTGCAAATCCACAAAACAAGGAAGCGGTGTGGTCGCAAAGTCAACGCAAAATTGACCGCGACGCACAAAAAGGCGAAGCGCAGCAGAACAGCAATACGGCATTTTACGAAGGGCATCAAAGCGGACAAAAATATTTGCAAAAAGTACCTAAAATGATGCACACCACCAGGAAATTTAAGAGCAAGTTGTCAAAAAAAGGCCGAGATGCCGGGTATTGCATAGATGTGCGGGTGGTACCGGTAGACAACAAAAAGTCGCAAAATTATATTTGCTTGCTGCCGCATGAAAGGCGGTGGAAGCCATAAAAAGTAGCAAGAGTGCAGGTGTTTTGAAGCGATATGGGCGGTCTGTTTAAGGTCTTGGAATTCTGTTAAATTTAGAGCCGGGGCTAAAAAAAGAAAGTTGTGCTTCGGGGCCCCCCAGGCACTTCTGGGAGCTTTCTAGGAGCCCCTGGGAACGAACCTCTGGCTCCCCTTTTGGAAATTTCTTGGAACCTTATGGGAGCCTTTAGGAACATTCTGGGAACCTTCTGGTGGCTCTTTGGGACCTTCGGGGGCCTTTTGGAAGCCTTTGACAACTTTATAGGGCATGTCTGGAAGCTTCTGGCAGCTCTCTGGAACCACCCTTCTAGGAGTTTTTTGGGAACGTGTTGGGAGCCTTCTGGGAGCCTCCTGGTAGGCATAAAAACCGAAATTTTCAACCCGCCCAAACAGAGCTGATTTCAATATAAAAAAATGTTCGTTTTACATGGGCCAGCGCCAAATCCTGACCCTGGGCCTTTTTTAGGGCTGCCCGGAAGCTTCCCGGTAGCTTCTGGGAGCATAAAAGGAGCCTTTGGGAGGTTGTGGGAACTTGTAAGGGCCTTCTGGGCGCCTTGGTAACTTTCTGGGAGCTTTCGGGAAACCTTCTGGGAGCTCTCTAGGAACTCTCTCGGAGCCCTTTGGGAACCTTTGGGAACCTTTGAAAACCTTTGGAGCTTTCTGGAACAGGTCTGGAAGCTCTTGGCAGCGCTCTGGAACCTCATAGGGAGCTTATTGGGATCTTTTTGAGAGCCTCTAGGGACCTTCTTGGGTGAAAATGCACGGGAAGGAGACCCAAACCGGACAAAAGCGATGCATTTTTTTGGATTCAAGCAAGGAAGACGCCGGACAATAGGAAAAAAAGACGTTTTTTTCGAGGAAAATTCGACCAAAGCAGCAAAAAATGCTAAAAACTGGGGGTTTTAGCTTGATCCGTTTAGGGCTCGGAATTCTGTTCCGTTTAGGGCCGGGGGTAACAAAAAGAAAGTTTTGAGAGGTTTTGAGAGGGAAGTGTCTGTTATTCCCAGGGTCTTGTCTAGGACGACAACCTGTGTTGTCGGACCCTAAACCCTAAACCCTAAACCCTAAACCCTAAACCCTAAAGCAACTCTGGCATTTCTAATTTCTTGGCAATTTCTTGGGAAAACATCATGCCAAATAAATTTCAAAAAAAATGAATATATATATATATATATTGAAATTATTCGATAAATATTTTTTTTCATATTGGCCATAATTTTATATCCGGTATATCAATAATATTCATTAATGCAAAATTATAAATAATGGTAATTTAAAAAGTAAAAATAAAAAATAAAACCTCATCAAAAATCAATAATAATAAGAATCCACCAATATTATCAAAAAATATTCATAAATAATATCAATAAAATTAATGCAAATAATTTCAATATAATAAAATATTAATTACCATTTCAATATTAAACAACAAGAAACAACAAGAAACAACAACAACAAAAACCAATAATAACAACCAACAACCAAAAAGCAACAAACAACAAAAACCAAACAAACAAAAAATAATAATAACATACAACAACGACAACTAGAGCAGAAATAACAACAACAACACAAACCAAAACAAACAACGACCAATGACCAACGACCAACAAACCACAACCAACAACCAACAACCAACAACCAACAAACAACCATAACCATAACCACAACCACAACAACAACAACAACAACAACCCCAACAACCCCAACAACCACAACCAACAACCAACAACCAACAACCCCAACAACCCCAACAACCCCAACAACCCCAACAACCCCAACAACCCCAACAACCCCAACAACCCCAACAACCACAACCAATAACCAACAACCCACAACCAATAAACAACAACAACAACAACAACAACAACAACAACAACAAAGACAACAGACAACAAACAACAGACAACAAACAACAGACAACAAACAACA